ATTGATCAAACCATCAAAGACAGTAACAAGTAATAAAAACAACATTGGAAATGATGCAGAGCTTCACCATACAAGATGGCAGGAGTTCAACAATGGTTTTTACACTGTATATTGTTTTCAGTTCAGTTGTTCTAATTACCAGATTCAAATGTGCAAATTTGGTCAAGATAAAAAAAAAAATTTTAAGCACTGACTGTTCCTTTCAATAAACTACAGACATCAGCAATACACCTATCCCAGCTATCCTTGTGCTGGGATAAATTTTGTTTTACATTTTAAAAAGAAAAGAAAAAAAAACAAAACAACAAAAACAAAAACAAACAAAACAGAATAGAGAACAATAAAAATGATACAGAATTTCAAAACATGGTGAAAGGATATTAACAATGGTTGTTATATTACATAATGCTCTCTTTAAAATGGTTACACATATAACCAGATATAGGCATGTAATATTGATCAAACAATTACACATTAAGTGTTCCTTTCAATAAACCAACAGTTTATTAGTACTAAAATTATCCTAGGTATAAATATACATTTTTTTTCTCCTCCTTCTTTCTTTTTTGGAAGAGATAGTTGATGTTTCCTAAAACGAGGTATGTGTGAAAGAAAAAACAAAGCTGAAGCCTGGACCATATTTTGAGGTATTATATGCCCTACTCACAGATTTAGATATTCCCCTCTCCTGAGGAAAAGGGATAGTAAATTAAGCTCTTTGGTACTGGAATAAGTACTTAAATTTTGAATTTCTGGAGAATACAGATCCCCAAACTGTGTTTACCTATTGTCAAAACACTTAAATAGTATCATCATTAACATGGATGTACAGGATATGTCAGCCATCAGCTAAATACTAAGGATGTTGTATCGTTTAGGTGGATGACGCCCAAAATTCCATGTGTTAAAGACTTGGTCCCTAGAATGGTAGTGTTGGGAGATGCTGTGAACCTTTAAGTGGTGGGGCTCCCTGGGAGGCATATCCTCAAAGAGGATCTGGGGGCCTTGCCCCATCCAGTTGTGTTTCATTAGCTCATGAATTGAGCAGTTTGTTCTGCCACGTGGATCACACGATGTGCCTCCCTTTCTAGGTGCTCAACTTAATGTGGGCATCAAGAATAAGACTAGACTACTAGAACCATAAGCCAAAATAAGTATTTTCTCCTCATAAGTTAATTGCTTAGGTGTTTCATTATAGTAACGCAAAGCTGACTAATATAGATGTCACATAGCTGATATTTACAACTCAGCTTTCTAATTTTTAACTAGGTTGTGGAGAGGCTCCATTTTTCAACTTTATAATACAGCTATTCCAAGATGCCCAAACATGTCTATAAAAGACTGTTTTTCATAGAAGCAGTGAGACTTTTTTTTTAGTATTCCTTTGGATACCAACAATTTGCACCTAAGACAATTCTCTGTGTGTTCTTTTACTCAGAACAGTATGAGATTGGTTAGAATTGCTTCCCCCAAAGAAATATCAATATTTCTGATAGATATGCATTTAGAGTTTTAAAGTTAATTCTCTTTTCAAATTTCCTTTCATTTTCTGCTGGGGCAATGTGAGCTAGGATAGAGGCAAAGAATCTGCTGTATATCTTTTCAAATTTATGATTAGGAAGGTCACATATACATTTTTAAACATATTCCTTTTTGATAATAAATGAAGAATAAAATTTTAAATGTCATTGGCATCAGAAATACCCGTTTTTCTTTCATTGGCATTCTTCCTGCCTGTTGATGGCCTACTGGTGGTGAGAAGGGCGAGCTGATCCAATGTTTCATCTCTTGTTTTTCTATTCGTTTCTTGTTCTGCCTGGAATAGTTTCACTAGTAGAACGGTGTGCCAGTACCCAAAGCATTGTAATCAAAACATGTGTTCCTATTCCTAATTCCCCTTCTTTCGCTAGGCCAGTTCTTTTTTAAATGAAGAATTCCATTTTAGGCTGCATTTATCTTCAAACTGTATTCAAAATAAAGGATCCAAAAGTTTTCCTCTTCTTTGTCTGGACTCCTGGATCCAAGCTGACTCTTTACCTTTCTCTACTGTTCTCTGCTTTTACAGCATGTTCTGGAAGGACCCCATCCATGCAGCCCTTTGCCACCTCTGGATTTTATTTTATTTTATTTTAGTATTTTTTTATTTTAAAGAGAATTGAAAAAAGTAACAATAGCAAAATGCCAACCACATAGACAAAAACAAAACAAAGCAAAAACAATAAGAATGCTACAGCCTTTCAGAACAAAATGATAGGGATTAACAGTGGTTGTTGTATTACATGTTTTTATCTTCATCGAAGTTGGTCAGATGGCCAGGCGTAGTGGCGCACACCTGTAATCCCAGCACTGGGGAGGCTGAGGCAGGAGGATCGTTGTGAGTTCAAGGCCAGCCTGGGCTACAAAGTGAGCTCAAGGTCAGCCTGAACTGCAAAGCAAGACCCTGTCTCAAAAAGACAAAAAAAAAAAAAAAAAAAAAAGGAAGAAGAAGAAGTTCGTCAGATGTAAAGAGTGCAAGATTAATCAAACCATTAAAGGGAATAAAAAATAAAAATGATCAGCTAATGAGAGCTGCTGTAGGATGTCAGAGGGATGGGGAGGATATAATCGAGGTACTTTGGTCTTGATACCCTGTCTGTGAACTCATCTGGGACTGGTTGTACCTGGATAGCACAAGAGAAAACTACTGCTTCTGTCTAGGTGGGCTTTCCTTCACAGCCCCGTCCTGTAGTTCTGATTACCACTTTCTCTGTGTGTCTTTCTGGATTCATGGGTGGTGAACAGCTCCCCCATCACTATATCATGTCTTGGAGTTCCCTACATGCTTCACACCTTTGCCAGCTGTATTTTTCTTTCTTGTATATGTATATATGTAGGGTGTATATATGTATGTATGTATGCTGCTGGGCAGAGAACCTTTGCCCTGAACTCATCCTCTGCCTTTTTAAAAAAATTTTTTTGAGACAAGATCCAACTATGTTGCCCAGGCTGGGCTCAAATTCACATTCCTCTGGCCTCAGCATTCCAGAGTGCTGAGATTACAGAAGTACACCACCTTGCCCTCCTTCTCACTAGTCTTTTTTTTTTTTTTTT